CAGCTATTTTATAGTAGAACTAGCATTCACATCAAGGTATTTGGTAAAAAATCTCCATATGTACCATCCAAGTCCTGACCAGATCCGACCCTGCTAAAATCTCCATATATACCAAATTAAAGAGTTGTACAAATTTTTGTGGGAACTGAGCGTTGAATATAAAGTGGAAGGAAATGTCTCAGGGGTGCAGAATGGCACCTTGAGGAAAACCACTAATTCTGAGAAGAAAGTAAGACAAGCTAGTATCAAAATCAAATCGAGTCACAAGTGTCAGGTAAATGGAATAACTTTCCATCCTGCATTGCTTTAATCTAAAAATTTTTAATGTCTAATTGAAAGTCGCTAAGAAAAAATTTAAGTGTAGGAAGAAGAAAAATATTCCAAGCCTAAATAGGAATCCCTCCTGTTTTCTGTTTTAGCAGCTGAAGGCATTTTGCAACAAACACTCTTATATCATTAGCCTAAGGACCAAGAAGTGGGCTAGAAGTTGAATCCAGGTCTGTAAAATGGATTAAGAATGATAATCGTAAAGGACTTTTTCAGCCTTCTCAGCACTACTTTTTACAATGTTTTTTTCCTCAGGTGTGATGAGATGCGTATTGCTTTACACAAAACTAAATGAATAGAGCTGGGACTTTATTTCCTAAGAGGTTTGTGAACTATTAGTAGTTCATTTTATTATGAAAAAAACCTTTTAAGTCACTCAAAGGTATGCCATTCTAAAATGAGATTATGGCACTGAAGAACCACAGATTAAAGTATAAGGTTTCAAAGTGGTTTAAGCTCTCTATATAAAAGATTGAGTAATTCCTCAGATAGTAAATCCATTTTTAAAAACCAAACTCTTAAGATGTATGTTACAAAATCTATTAAGAAAAGATAGTGACGTGAACTAACATTAAAATAAAAATTTACTAACTTTGAGTTGGAAACTATGTTGAATTGTGAGACCATTTTAAATTAATTAAAAGTGTGAAACTTTAAGGAATAATTAACCTAACCCTTTACTGTAGTTGGAAATGAATCAGGTGCTTGGTTTACAAATTCTGACCACAGGAATCTGTGCTTTTGTGTGATTGATGACAAAAATTAAGCTGCTGCCTTCCGAAATGATGCTTCTTTGAAATTACTAATAGTGATCTTTTCCTCCTGTCTATTGGTGACGATTAGAATTTTTTTTGCTATATTGGTATTGTTGGTTTTTGCTATATTGGTATTGTTGGTTGCTACCTTAAACATATTTGGCGTATTTTCTTTTTTTCTTTTTTTTTTTGACAGAGAGCACAAGTAGGCAGAGAGGCAGGCAGAGGGAGAGGGAGAAGCAGGCTCCTCGCTGAGCAGGGAGCCCGATGTGGGGCTCAATCCCAGAACCCTGGGATCCTGACCTGAGCCGAAGGCAGACGCTTAACTGACTGAACCACTCAGGCGCCCCTGGCGTATTTTCACACGAATAATTTAACAAATCACAAGGGTGTTTGGCTTTCATAGAACGTTTGGGAAATGTGAAAAAAAAATTTAAGATTTTATTTATGAAAGAGAGAGAGAGTACAAGCAGGGGGAGCGAGAGAGGGAGAAGCAAGGCTCCCCGCTAAGCAGACACAACCAACTGAGCCACCCAGGTGCCCCAAAATCTGAAAATTTCTTAATACCCACTTGTGTTTTTAATTCAGAAGGAGGAAAAATACTATAAGCTACAGTTTTCTAGCTGTTGCTTTTAAGTTTTTCTAAGATTGAAGGGTTAAAATGTCAACATAAAGGTATTTTTCCTTAAGCATCTCTACAAGCTTTTATGATTATACATGCATTAAAAATAGTTGTTTTTAGGATGCGGTTATTTCACATAATTGAGAACATAACTAAAGTTTGATATGATAGTAGTTACTTTAAGACGTAGCATTTTAAAATTTTGAATTTAAAAGCTGAAGGATTTTTTTCTCTAATGTTTTAAAGAACCAAAGTCCTCTTACGCTCATTTTAGTAATCCTGCTAAATAATCCTCTGGAAGAATGAATAATGAGACAAACTTATTTTACATAGGAAATCTAGATGGGGAATGACCATTTGCTTCTCTTTACCATGAACTTTGTGGATGTGTTAAGCTGTAATCGTGTTCTGTAGTTATTTTAGTATTCCACTTCTTTTAGTTGAAGAAAGTAAATCCAATAAAGCTATTGATGGAATGGAGAGACTTCAATGTTACTAAGTGAAACTTACTTCTTAACCATACATACAGTTATTCAGATGTTGACTGTGAAGTTAACATTTTTAGTAGCATTTATACTTACGTCATGAACTAGGTTTAAGTTCCAGGTTAATTACTTAGAATTGTCCCATGTTTCCTGATTTTAGGGTGGAGATGCTGCTTTTTTTGGAAGTGAAAGGTTTTTTTGCATTGATGGGCATTAAGATTTTAATGGATAAATTGGATTTTGACATTACATTCTAGAGTAGTTATTTCAAAGGAACTATTTTTGAACTTTCTTACCCTGTAGTATAGTGTACTATGGGAAGGCAGTTTTATAATATGGGGAAAAACAGTACAATAAGCTACTCTTTTTTAAAAAGTAATTTAGTAAACACCTCACTGTTGTGCTAACCTTAATAGGCAGTAGGTCTTGCTTAAATGAGCCTTTTAAAATGGCTTGTCATTTTATTATCCCTGACTGAAGATACTAGTGGAACTATTTTTGTAAGTGCTCTTTGAACAGTGCTGTCATGTCTGATTTCTCTCAATTTGTTTTAATGAAAAAAAAATTAAGACTTTGGTTATTTGTGTTCCGGTCAAAAGTCTGACTTAAGTCACTTTTCACTAATAATGTTCTCATGTCTTTGTGTGGGGCTGCATTTAAGTTGAAACTCTTGAGTCTCAAAAATAATTATGGTTAGTCTTACGAGATTACAAGTTGTCATGGGATTTACATTGTCTGTCTTGCTCTTTTTCTCAGTTTTCCTGACATCCATTTTCTGTTTTGTCTTAAGGTTATCTTTTATCTTTACTTCTCTTAACCTTTCCTTTTTCAGATCCACCCTTTTCATATGTGCTATAAAGAAAAGTAATTGAGATCTCTGTAATCCAAGAGTCATTTCCTTAAAGTATGGTCATTTAAAAAATTTTACATAGTCTTAATACTATTGTATAATTTCCTTAAGGGAAAGGATTAGTCCTTAAAAAAAAAAAAAGAAAAACTGGCTTTTCTGTATTACACAGCTTTGTCTGTACCATGAAGTGCAAAACTGCCATTAATAGTAATATTGCTACTTCGAAATGCTGGTTTTAGAAAACCCTCTTAAAGGTTTTGATCTTTTAAAATAAAGTATACATGAAAATTTAGAGGGTCCTGTTAATGTTTGCAGTTTTTCAGCTGCCATTCTGTATGGCATTTTCTATAAGACCTACCAAGGAAACTGTCATCCAAAAAGGTCCACTTACTCTTGTCTTTATTATTCTTAAAGCATAAGTAGTTTATATAGTATATCTCATCTAGAACTAGTTTCTTTAGTATCTTTTCTCAGTTTCATCTCTCTTGGTGTGCAAAAACATCTTCTGTAATTCCAATCACCTCTGATAGCATTTCTGTGTCTTTAACTTTGTTACATCTTTTTGTAAAATCTAACTAAGTCTTGCCTGCAACTTTTTTTTATACTTCTCTACCACTGTATGTCCAGTGTTCCTTGCTTTATTCGATCATTGGTGGAATTGGTCCCATAATAGACTTGTAACTATTGAATATTGCCCAGTTTTTAATGTAATAAAGTTTAATAATATTAAACCACGAGTGCTTAGGTGTATGGGTGATCAAATGTATGAAACTTAACAGAGCAATGCTTCTTAATTGAATTATGTAGCAAACAACTTTAGACTTAACCTCGGTAAATAGTTGTGATTATAAAAAATTATTTCCTCAAGAACATTTGTTATGTATGTCATTTGATATTTTATGAGAATCATATGTAAATGCTTTTCAAATTCGTCTGTAACAATTTGAGATAAAATAGTAATTTAAGGAAGATAATGACAGTAATTTCATCCAGAAACATATCTTGGGGGATTGTGTTCAGAATTTAAAATTTCCAGGTGAATGGGCTAATCTTGTGAAAAGTTTACAGAAATCTGTGTAAGCACAATACCATTTTCATTTTTACCTGTTTTGAGCTCTAGAAGGTTCTGTAGCCCAGAGTATTAAATGAGCTTTGATGGATGCTAACTTAGAGGGGAGTTTCACTTCTTTTAAATCACTTATACTTCCTGTACCTGGGTTTTTTCTTTGGCGTTCTCCTATTTCTATATTGACCATATTTAGTTCTCCTTACTTTTTAATATTAGAAATAAGCACTGCCTGATACAGGATGGATAGTAAGAAGGCAGTTAGTTAAATGGCTTAAATTTGTGCAGAAATCCTGAAACTAGGAAGTCACTTATTTTTCTTCACATCTGTCTTTACCTCAAATTGATTTTGCTGCATAAAGGTCTCGACTATTGTGTTTGGTCTTAGATCTTATACCTAGGTACTTGGTCCTAAGCTTCATTTACTTGTGATTTTACTTGGTTCTTTCTGATAGTAATAATAGGTCTCATTTTCTAAAGCAGAATACAACTGATTCATCTGACTTGCTGACCTTGATTTTTTGTTTGTTTTTAGTCTTCTCCTGGAACTTAAACATCATACTATAGGTGTATTTTTATTCTTCCAAAAGAAGAGACCCATCTATATTTTTATTGAAATTTTGATGTACTCAGACATCTAATCCTTCAATTGAAATGTTTTTAAATTCAGTATGGAATTCCCTTTAATAAACTTTGGCATGAAAGACTACTTTTTAAATATCTATATGCAGGCTCTGCATACATCTGGAATCTGTTTAAGATATGTAATAAATTCCTTGTAAGTTTGAGATCTTAAATGTTTTTTTTTAAATCAACATGATGCATAAGTTTTTTTTCTAAAAAAACAGCATCTACTTAAAGGGATTTATGACTAAAATTGCTTATTTTTCTACAGAGTTGTCTGCTGGTTCTCAGCTTGAAGAAGATTCTACAGTCCTTATTGATCCTTTTTCTTGGCGTTACCATTTTTTGAAGCAAAGTTAACCTAGTTTGCTAGTTTGAGCTTTCTTTTTGGCCTTCTTTAAAAAAAAATTTTTTTTAAGTCTATAAACTAGACAAGAGATAGTTCTACAATGTCCAAGTCATTCCAGCAGTCATCTCTCGGTAGGGATTCGCAGGGTCATGGGCGTGACCTGTCTGCAGCAGGAATAGGCCTTCTTGCTGCTGCTACCCAGTCTTTAAGTATGCCAGCATCTCTTGGAAGGATGAACCAGGGTACTGCACGCCTTGCTAGTTTAATGAATCTTGGAATGAGTTCTTCATTGAATCAACAAGGAGCTCATAGTGCACTGTCTTCTGCTAGTACTTCTTCCCATAATTTGCAGTCTATATTTAACATTGGAAGTAGAGGTCCACTCCCTTTGTCTTCTCAACACCGTGGAGATGCAGACCAGGCCAGTAACATTTTGGCCAGCTTTGGTCTGTCTGCTAGAGACTTAGATGAACTGAGTCGTTATCCAGAGGACAAGATTACTCCTGAGAATTTGCCCCAAATCCTTCTACAGCTTAAAAGGAGGAGAACTGAAGAAGGCCCTACATTGAGTTATGGTAGAGATGGCAGATCTGCTACACGGGAACCACCATACAGAGTACCTAGGGATGATTGGGAAGAAAAAAGGCACTTTAGAAGAGATAGTTTTGATGATCGTGGTCCTAGTCTCAACCCAGTGCTTGATTATGACCATGGAAGTCGTTCTCAAGAATCTGGTTATTATGACAGAATGGATTATGAAGATGACAGATTAAGAGATGGAGAAAGGTGTAGGGATGATTCTTTTTTTGGTGAGACCTCGCATAACTATCATAAATTTGACAGTGAGTATGAGAGAATGGGACGTGGTCCTGGCCCCTTACAAGAGAGATCTCTCTTTGAGAAAAAGAGGGGCGCTCCTCCAAGTAGCAATATTGAAGACTTCCATGGACTCTTACCGAAGGGTTATCCCCATCTGTGCTCTATATGTGATTTGCCAGTTCATTCTAATAAGGTGAGTTAATGCAACAGATACTTCTAATTTCTTTTACATTGTAGTGACTATTCTGTATTTACCTATATCTTTTACTCTAATTCTGTAGTCTGGTGACACTGAGTTGATCAAGAATTTTTATGCTTTTGAGAACACTTTATTTGGAAGGTAATTGTTTTTGAGCATTAAACCAGGGCTTTACATTAATATAATCTGCCTAGATGACTTCTAGCCACAAAGCTGTCATCCACTGGGATTATCTTGTTGGTTTTTGGCATCAATATGTTCTTCTTAACCATATATTTAAGCAGGTTTTTTGTCTGCTTTGTTGAATTGTTTTAAGTATTTTTTTTTTTTTTTGCAGTCAATGTGCTCTGCCATTCAGGATGCTAGATTTCAGCTCTCCATCTGTCTTGATTGCTGATTTGTATGTAGTAAAGATGTATTCTTGAACAATTCTCTTTTTTTCCTTATCTGTGGCTACAGGGAAAGAGTTAATGTAGAGCCCTGGTGTTTGTTTCAGTATGTTTCATATTTTAGATTAGTTCATTCTTCTTTTTTAATTTCCCTTTAACACAAACTCTCATACTATGACTGAAATTTTTCATCATTTTTTTTCTCCTTTTCCACAACTTTCTTAAACATACTTCAAAACTCACTTTTTATTATCCCATATTGCATCTGTCCCTTTAGAGACTTGGAAAAATCAACTACTGCAGTATCCTGCTCTATGTTCCTCATAAGCATATTCTTTTTCTGACTAGGCTTAGACTTCTGGTATAGTCATTTGAGAGGAAAAAAAAATATATATATATATATATCTAATTCTCCTTTGCTTTAATTATCACATCTAGCAAAATGGGAGCTTTTTCAAAATGCCCTTATAAATACATTGTCCTTTCTCTTCCGTTTTCAATGTTACTCGTTCTCACTGAATTTTTTTTCGATATATAGTGCAGTTGGCTTAAAAGTCAACATAACAGCACTCTAATAGCTTGATCTATGCTCTGACCGTCCATATTTCCTGATGTGCTGTACAGTTATTCTACTTACCATGTTGCTGCCATGAAATTGATTTGATGATTACTCTTCAGGGTTTTTTCTTTAAGGTAACATCTGGAAGGGTCATTTCTTTTTCATATCTCTCCCTTTAAAATGCATTTTTTAGTGACTTGATTTTTTTGAGTAAACTAAATCATAGATGATGAGTGATTTTGTTTTTAATATTCTATTTAAAAGTATTACCAGTCACTCCCTTTTCTGTTTCAATCTCAGTATTTTTGCCTCAGATAATTAAGAGACTTCTTTTATTTGAATTTACAGAATACTTTGAAAAATGTCTTTAAGAAGTTAATTCTTAGCCAAGTTTATGTGTTTCTATAATACAAAAATCTTTTGAATTAGTGTATAATAGTTTAAGTACAGCACAAACAAGGAATATTTTAATCTTTAATCCAAATAAAATAAACTTAACATTGGATGCTAAATTTAAATTCCTAGATTAATTTTTATTGAAGACGTAGCCCCAAACTCATAAAAGTTAAGGAGTTTTATTTACTAGGTGTCTTTAGTGTTGTCTTTTTTCCAAATACGTTGGATAAAGTTTTAGCTCTGCTGGGAGTTGATTTAGTGAAAAGGTCCACAAAACTTTGGTGACTCAGTTTTTTCTGTTCTTGCCTTTTTGCAGAATTGGCAACATGATCAGTGTTCTCAGATAGGATCTCTAAATTCCAAGCAGAATAGCTACAGTGTCTCAAATGAAAAGTGATTCTGAGGGACTTAAAATCTTTGCTAATGGAGTCCTCATACATCAACAGCTGTTGCTGGAAATCTTATTCTGACTTTGAGCAGTATTTACCCTTGTTGTTTGCACATAGAAAAACACTAAAGGAACACAAAAGGAAACCAGAAGAGGGCTTTAATCAGAGAAAAGTTTCTATATTATATGTGATTAATCTTTTCTCTCCAGATTTTGCTGCCTATTAGTTCCTGAACAATAATATTAATAAATCACTATAGTTAAATGAGTCTAAATTAACAAGAGAACAGTTTTAAAATATCTGATGAAACTTTGGATTCAAGAGTAAGATACCCTGCCTAGTGCAAGAAGTATTTTAAACCTGTAAAAATGCTTAGGCCCTAGCTGGTTTTGGTATTATGCCACAGTATTGGGAACATTTAAGAATTACTTGAGGCCCTTTGATTGATTGATTGATTTACAAAATTTGTATTTGTAAATTGGGCCAATTTAAAAAGAAGTTTAAGCACTTGGATTCTCAATGTATTCCAGTTTCCTTAACATAGCTCATGTTTTCTGGGTATCTGTGTTATTGAAAAAATAATTATTTACCTTTAGTTGTGGTCCTTTCTCATTTTATAGCTGACATAGAAACAACGACTTGAGAGAAAATTCCTGTGGTGAAAGTAGATAATGAAAATTTTTAAACATTTAATCCTGCTCTCTGGTATTGCTGCATAACTTGGAAAATCTGTTCTTTTCACTTAGTGGTAGTGTTAAATAGCTTACATGAGCAAAACTTCATCTTACTATGAAATAAGGAACTTTTAGGTGAAAAACGTGATCTAATTTGTCATCATTATTTGATATTTTAAGTGACTTTCAGTGATGGTGTTGCTTTTATTTCTTTCTAGGTCATTTTAGAATGTCAAATTGCTTTTCTCCACGACCTCAAACTTGCCTCAAATTCTTTTCACTTTAAAGCAAAGTGCCCGCTACAGCCTTTTCACTGTCTTGTCACTTGGGTTCATATTTTTCCTTTTAGTATTATTCTAGAAGCCCTTAAATTCTTTATTCTGCCATTCCAGAAGTGCTTCTCCCAAATTATCCTTTCTTTATATAATTTAGGTATCTCAAAGACATCAAGGTGAATATAGTTTTCCTACAGAACTTCTACATTCAAAACGTGAATCCTTTTACCTTAATCTGATGTGAAAGCTACCTCAATGTAGAATTAAGGATATAGGTTTTTTAAAAACCCTTTTGACTCTTAATCCTCACTTTAAACCAAAGATCCGGTGTGGTGTAGTGCAGATTAGGAATGGGTTGGTTTGGGAGGTACATAATAATTCTTTGATCTTAGCCTTCCTTCTAGTACTTTGAAAGACCAGCTACACTTTTACCATAAATTTGAAACTTTAAAGAGCATAGAGGATTGGATATAAATAGTTTTCTGTTCAACTAGATACCCTTTCCATCTCCTATGAATTAGAAACGTGCCTAATAGGGTAACTTTTACTCCTCTCCCAGCACACTGCTTCTCAAGGACATTTTAAATAAAATCTATTTTTAGTTCAGAAAATTCTAAGTTAAGGTATTTGTTTAATCCCTCTTACGAATTTTGTGAACTTTACCTATGGCGCCTCTTCTTAACAGCCATTTTAAAAGTGTCCTCCAGTAAGTCAGTGGTCTGTTGCTTTGCAAGTACAAACTTTTTATATCCCAAATAACTAGTTGTGGAGCCAGCTGGAGAGATTTCTTCAAGTTCCTTAGCTGTTAGCCATTATTTTTAAAAGACAATCTAGATTTGAGATAACAGCTTTCATAGTTCTTTCACAGGATTTTAGTTAATTCTTTTAGGGCAGAGGAAGTTTGTAAGCTGTTGTAATATAAATCCATTTTTTTTAAATTAGGTTTATAAAATACCATTCTGAAGCTTTTCAAGAAGGTATCTCTTGTAATTTGGTTTCTTATTTTAGTTCAGCTCTAAGTGAGACCCCCTTTTAAAAACATTGCCTGACCCTGTTTTATATTCCAAATACAATGTATTAGGTAGTGTGGATGTGACAAAACTTGCCTCATTTTGTGGGAATTTGTAAAACAACAATACTTGTAAAGCAGGAATTGTAAAACGAAGTAGCTTTATAAGCAGTGTAATGACAGTTCATTTTTTTTTTCTTTTTTGAGCACTTCTTATGTGCCTGGCAATGTTCTGATAAGCAGTTTACCTTTAGTCATTCAATTTACACAAAATCCTAGGAGAGTATTGAATCATAGTAAATTTCAATAATACGTACCAAGGATTCATGTCTACTAAGTGGCACCTTGGGAATGGAACCTAGGCAGTCTGACTGCAGAGCCTACTTTTCCTAACTCCTCTTTCTTCAGTTGTCTAAAACATTGATCATTTATATGTGCATTTTTTAAAAAAGGAAAGCTTATTTGCATAAAATAGGAAAGAAGTTAATCCCTTAAATTAAAAATAACCACAAAGGAGCACAAATATCGATGAATATAGTGTTTCCGCTCCCTAAAATTTGGAAACAGACATTCCTGAAATTTGCTTCTTTACTTTTGGGAAATATAATGGGAGCTTAGTTTTTTGATAAATGGGGAGCATTTTCTAGAAAAGCCATTACTGTTGAATCTTAGCTTTTCATGGCTGTAGTACACTTGGAACATGCCTCAAAGCTGGATAAAATGATGAAAGTCTATTTTTAACTACATTTATAACATTTCTAGAAAAATAGAAGCATGGATATTTTACCATTGAATTATATAAAAGCAGTTCTAATGATACAATATATATAATCCAATTTGGTCCACAGAAGAGAATAGTATGTCTAGCTGATCTCAAGGTCAGTTATTATTCTTGATCTTTATTAACTCTTATCTCTTCCCTGTCAGGTCTATTAGTATGTTAACCAAGTTATCCAGTTTTTCCAAGAATGTGCATGGCGTATTTGAGGGCAGGATCATGCTACAAGGATTCAGAGAAATGGTTTTAAATTAATTCATTGTGACTAGTGAATGGTCAGGTGTTTCTACCATCTGTCATACTGCATATAAATTAACTTCCTAGAGTTTGGTTCAAATGAAAATATTTTAGCTTTATTTTTGTTAATTCTACTAATTTACTTTGCTGCAGGAGTGGAGTCAACATATCAATGGAGCAAGTCACAGTCGTCGATGCCAGCTTCTTCTTGAAATGTAGGAGTTTGAAATACCTTTAAAGCATCCGTACCGTGAATCAGAAACAGCCATTGATTGGTTTTGGGGAGTTCATCATTTGCTTGTAATATCCACATTGTTACCACTGCATAGTTGATACTGACCAGACTTTACCAGTTATAAACAAAATGTTTAGATCTGGAATCTCTCTTTCGGAATATTAGGTTCAGTGATAGTGGTATTTTGTTATTTAATATTACTTGTAGGACAAATAAACAATGGCTCTTTTTCTACAAATTGCAAGAATTTTTAATAGACTTACAGATGGCCTTTGATACATAGAATATTCTGACTCAAGCATTTTCAATAACAGTTAATACATGCTCTAAAAATATAGAAGATAGAGAAAAGGGGAAAAGTCGTTAGAAATTACAAGTTGTCAAGCAGAATCCGTCAATATACATTTTTTGCTTTTGAGTTACCTTTGGTTCTGATTTTAAGCTGCTGGAATGGAATTGAATTCATAAAGCATCTCCCTGCCTAAACACACATACCCATTGTTTACTAGAATGCCAGTTTTCACATATGTCTAGCTCTGTTGGGGCTTTCTTTTCTTTCTAGTGTCAACAACTCAACTCTGTTTTTGGTATTGGTATTACAATTGGAGAAGGAAAATCTGTGGTTGGTCCTTATTTCCCTATATACTCAACATTTCCAATTCCCCATGCAGCACTTTTTCCTCCTTATGACTTACCAAATAAATTTAAAAATTAAACTTCAACATATATTACCTACATTTTCAATTCAGAACAAGTTTATTCTTGTTCATTTGGATTATTTTGTAGTTCTGGAGGTTTTTTTGGAAGTATCTATATGATATGTTTTAAACTGTAATATTTCTAACACTTAGACTCTCCTATAACTTCACTAATAAATAAACTCTGTTTTAAAGGCCAAACAAGGCTATTTTGTGAAAAGGACAGTTTTATTTTAAAGTTAATTTTCTGGTCTCTTTAAAGCTACCCAGAATGGAATCCTGACAATGATACAGGACACACAATGTAAGTTAAAATTTTTAAGCTCTTGTTTATAAAGGAGATCATTATAAGGAATTCAGGTTAAACTTTCAAAATTTATAAACAAAAAATGTTTTCTGAGTATCTTCATTAAATATGAGAGTTTGGTATAAGTCACTGTGGGTAAAAGAATCTTTAGAATTTTAATTTTTATGTTAGTGATTTTTATTTTATTGTTATTATAGCTTTTTCCCTAGTTACTTCACACATATAAATGCCTACAACGATTGGAATTAAAATCACTAAAGGGGTATTTTAACAATAAATCTTAAATTATTTCTGATGGACCTCTTTGTCATTCATTACATTTTATGTCTCACGTTACTAGGGGTGATCCATTCATGCTGCAGCAGTCTACAAACCCAGCACCAGGAATTCTGGGACCTCCACCTCCCTCATTTCATCTTGGGGGACCAGCAGTTGGACCAAGAGGAAATCTGGGTGATTATAAAATTTGTTACCTTTCCCTAAGAGCTTTTACCATAAAAATGAAATGCAGTGATTGGAGGTAAAAGAAGGCTTGTTGAAAAACTATCCAAAAATAACATATCACATGAGAAGACATGGTTCTTACTATATTTGTGGTAACCTCTGATTTGTGTTTGAAAGATGTCCTGTTTTCCTGAGGCGCCTGGGTGGCTCAGTCGGTTTAGCGTCTGACTCTTGATCTCAGCTCAGGTCTTGATCTCAGGGTTGTGAATTCTGGCCCCGCATTGGGCTCCTGGCTGGGTGTAGAACCTACTTTTAAATAGAGAAAAGAAAAAGAGGGGTGCATGTGTGGTTAAGTGTCCCTACTCTTGGTTTCTGCTCAGTTCATGATCTCAGTGTCCTGAGATGGAGCCCTTTGTAAGGCTCTGCACTCAGCAGAGAGTCTGCTTCTCTTCCTCTGCCCCCCCACCAGCCCACTCTTGTGTGTTCTCTCTCTGTAAAATCTTTAAAAAAGGAAGATGTCTCATTTTTCACTTAAAACTGTTAAGTATATTTATTATAAGATTAAAAAAACCATTTTTTCTCCATAAAGGTGCTGGAAATGGGAACCTGCAAGGACCAAGACACATGCAGAAAGGCAGAGTGGTCAGTAATACAGCTCTTTCTTTTACTTTGTTTTTTGGGGAAATGTAATTTAACTTCAAGATTTCTATAAATTGAACCTGTATTGTAGTTCTTTATTATAGAAAGACTGCTATTGCTTGAAAACCATCAGGCTTTTACATGACTTTTTTCATATACCCATAGTATAGAGATCTCACTTTGAGTGTACCAAATTTTGCTGCCCATTTATGTGTATTCTATTTAAAAATAACTGCAGAGGAGGCTTTCTGAAACTTTGGGATATATCCCAGTGAATCTGACTTCCTGTGTAGTTTTAAAATTCTCTAGAATGTTAAGGAGTAGTTTTAAATACTTAATCTGGTGTGGTTAACTTTAGACTTGAAACTTCTAATATATAACTTGTTTCATCTTGATTCTAAAGAGACTTCTTGACTTGATTTTTTCCTAATGGATAGGAAACAAGTAGAGTTGTTCACATCATGGATTTTCAGCGAGGGAAAAACTTGAGATATCAACTATTACAGCTGGTGGAACCGTTTGGAGTCATTTCAAATCATCTGATTCTAAATAAAATTAATGAGGTATGAGTTGAAATAAGTGTAGTATTTATTCATTACTAATATATTTCCTGAAGGAATTACATGATTTTGTATTATAAAAAGAACTCAATATAATTTTTTTAAATTTTATTTTATTTGAGAGAGAGTGAAAACTCAATATAATTTTAAATCATTAATATGGAATTTAATAGAGAAAAAAGCAAAGAGTTGAAGTGTGTCAATAACATTAATTTCTCAGCCTAATGGATTATTTAGTAAATTTATTAATTGTAGTCCTTAAGCAGTAAAATTGTCATCATATTATTATTATAAGGGCTCTTTTATAAAGGATGATAATTATTTGAGAAGCCATTCTAAACTTTTACCAAAATGGGTGCCAAATTATTGTTTCAAATACAGTAGACATAATGACACTTGAGTAGCATGAAGATAGTAAAATCTGAGATGACCTTTTAAAAAAATAGCAAATTACAAAAACTAATGCTGTAATGTATGGTGATTAACATAGCATAATAAATAAATAAATAATAGCAAATTAGCAGTGTTGGTTCTGTTTTTAGACTCTTAAAGATGCTTTCTAATGATTAAATATATCTAGAAAGACTTGGCATTGTTCTTTTGTTTCAGAAATGATAATTTTGTCCAATTTTAGGCATTTATTGAAATGGCAACTACAGAGGATGCTCAAGCTGCAGTGGATTATTATACAACCACACCAGCATTAGTATTTGGCAAGCCAGTGAGAGTTCATTTATCACAGAAGTATAAAAGAATAAAGGTAATTATCGATTTTTTCCAGATTTGCACCACAAACCATTTAATACATCATTTTAATTTAATATTTATTAACTTTAGCTACTTTAAGTTGTTGCTAATAACTAGAATTACCTTATCTATTAACAAATAATTATAGCATACCTGTCACCATTCGATTTGCCTTTTTTATTTGTGTGCTTGTTTATTATTTAGAAACCCGAGGGGAAGCCAGACCAGAAGTTTGATCAAAAGCAAGAGCTTGGACGTGTGATACATCTCAGCAATTTACCTCATTCTGGCTATTCTGACAGTGCAGTTCTCAAGCTTGCTGAGCCTTATGGAAAAATAAAAAATTATATACTGATGAGGATGAAAAGTCAGGTAATACCACATATAGAAGTTTTTAAGGAGGATCATGGGGGAAGGGAAGGAAAAATAAAATAAGACAAAATCAGAGAGCGAGTGAGACAAACCATAAGAGACTTTTAACTAAAGGAAACAAACTGAGGGTTGCTGGGGTTGGGGGGTGGGGTAATTAGGTAATGGGCATTAAGGAGGGCATGAGATGTAATGAGCACTAGGTGTTATATGCAACTGATGAATCACTGAACTCTCCCTCTGAAACTAATAATACACTATATGTTAATTGAATTTAAATAAAATTTTTAAAAAAGTTTTTAAGAGAGTGCCTGGGTGGCTCAGTTGGTTGAGCGACTGCCTTCAGCTCAGGTCATGATCCTGGAATCCCGGGATTGAGTCCCACATCGGGCTCCCCGCTCAGTGAGGAGTCTGCTTCTCCCTCTGACCCTCTCCCCTGTCATGCGCTCTCTCTCTCTCTCCCTCTCAAATAAATAAAATCTTAAAAAATAAAAATGAGTTTTTAAGATTATTTCTCAGTGCTTCAAGGTTTTTTGTGTGTATCTTCATTTTTAATAAAGGGAGAATAATTATCTTCTCAGATAAATTTTAAATTTTCCTTGCCTGATAAATGATATTTTTTTAAGTCACAGTAGATTCTCAGTGTGTAGAACAGTTAGTAAATACTGAGAAACTATAAAGTGGAAAGTAAAGATGGTATTCCAAGTTTGCATCCAAAAAAATCTCCCCGTGTGTGTATGTAGGTATACTGTTTCTTCCTTGCCTCAAGTGGTATTATATTATACTGTTGCTTTCCACTTTATATGTGATTCCATTGAGTAAACTAACAAATTTAACTTCCTGAGTTGATGGATATTTAGAGGTTTTTGGACTGTACCATTGGTGCTATGGACTTGGCAGCATATAGATTTTTACATATTTGTATCATATAATTGAAGGATAAATTTCAGAATTAGAATATTGTATCCTCATACTTTCTTTACTTTGATACTGCCAAATTGGTCTGCAAAAAATACCAGTTTATAATCACTTGTGGTTTTTCGTTTTAAAAATTCAGAGTCAAGCATCTTTATTTTGTTGTTAACTCTTGTATATGGCATTTAGAGTTTGTATCTTTCCAGACTTTTTAAGTTAATTTTTTCTTACAGTATTAAGTAATATCTTGTAAGCTGATTGCTTTTTTTTTCCCTTTTTTTTAAGGCCTTTATTGAGATGGAGACCAGGGAAGATGCAATGGCAATGGTTGACCACTGTTTGAAAAAGGCCCTTTGGTTTCAGGGGAGATGTGTGAAAGTAGACTTGTCTGAAAAATATAAAAAATTGGTACTGAGGGTATGTAGTAATGGATTTGTCATCGTTATAAAGCTTGTTTCACATATTTCAAGCCACAACATTCTTAAATACTTTTATTTGTTAAGAATATAGGGTTTGGTTATTTAAAGATAGCAACCTTTTTTCCCCTGGTATTCTTCAGTAGAAGTTTGTTGTTGTTGTTGTTTTGATGATGTTACGTTAAAAATGCCTTTATTGCTTTTATCTATTCTAAGATTTTATTTGAACTTGAGTTCTGCTACCAAAATACTTACTGTCCACTTGCTCTATGCTCTGTTGAAATGTTGATTGTAATGAACTGCTTACTTACATTCTTAGGTATGGTTACTGGGATTGAATAAGCTTAGTTGATATAAAGAATGTTCCTCAACTATTAGTTAATTGCATAATTATATAATCTGCACATGAGCATATTCTAATACATTTATTTCACTGATACAAAATTTTGTCTTTTAGATTCCCAACAGAGGCATTGACTTACTGAAAAAAGATAAATCTCGGTAATTTCATTTTGTGTGTGTATATATACTGGTATATTCACCTTTTGTTTTCCAACTCAGGAGAATTAATTGAGGGGGTATCCTTTTGATTTCAGGAAAAGATCTTATTCTCCAGATGGCAAAGAATCTCCAAGCGATAAGAAATCCAAGATTGATGGTTCCCAGAAGACTGAAAGTACAACTGAAGGTAAAGAACAAGAAGAGAAGTCAGGTGAAGATGGTGAAAAAGATACAAAGGATGACCAAGCTGAGCAAGAACCTAACATGCTTCTTGAATCTGAAGATGAGCTACTTGTAGATGAAGAAGAAGCAGCAGCACTGCTAGAAAGTGGCAGTTCAGTGGGAGATGAGACAGATCTTGCTAATTTAGGTGATGTGGCTTCTGATGGGAAAAAGGAACCTTCGGACAAAGCTGTGAAAAAAGACGGAAATGCCAGTGCTTCGGCAGCTGCAAAGAAAAAGCTAAAAAAGGTAAAGGAAGATTGTATATTGACCTGTGTTGATAGAAAACTAGATCAGATAAAAGTTTCATATTATTTACACTAGCAGGGTCAGATTAAAGAGAATTAGTCACTTAATATTAGAAAAAGTCAGTCATGAACCATAATATAAATATTTAAAAGTAAACTCTGCAATAAATAGGTTAAATAAGACTTTTTATAATAGTTGTTAAAAACTGTCAACTCACAGAAGGAAATTTTTACTAAGGAAGGAGGAAGACCTAAATCTATATTTGTGTATTATAGTGGTAGTGTATAAGTACATGTAGGCAGCCTTTTAGTCCAGCTTGTTTTTAAAAAGATGGGAGATACGAGTTTATAATAAGTTAATTGACCCAAGATACTTAAAACATTTTGCCACTCACTTAAAAATTATTAAACTTGGGGCACCTGGCTGGCTCAGTCAGTGGAGCATGCAACTCTTATCTTGGGGTTGTGGGTTTGAGCCCCAGGTTGGGTGTAGAGATTACTTAAAAATAAGATCTTTCTTTTTATTTATTATCTATCTATCTATTTTTTAAAGATTTTATTTGACAGAGCGAGCGAGAGAGGGAACACGAGCAGGGGGAGTGGGAGAAGGAGAAGCAGGCCTCCCACGGAGCAGGGAGCCCGATGTAGGGCTCGATCCCAGGACCGTGGAATCACAACCTGAGCCGAAGGCAGACGCTTTAACAACTGAGCCACCCAGGCGCCCCCAAAATAAGATCTTTTTAAAAAATAAATAAAAATTGTTAACTTTGAAAAATTCTATTTGAGAAACATAAGCTATATCAGATAATTCAGTAGCTTTTAAAACATTTTTCTTAGAACACACGTTACAGATAAGCATATAAGGTGAATACAAATATAAAATTATATACATAGCATAAAGAAAGTAAAAAACCATGGTGTACTGATTATGTGTTAAGGATTAGAGCATTAAAATGCCCTTGAAGCTCCTTATGTTAAATGGCTCTTTCAATGAGATCTTAGTATTCCTGGCCCATTGGTCCTTTGTAACCAATGTTCAACTATTGGAAGATGAATTTTTAGCCTCCAGATTTTAATGGTTTGGTCACATAACAGTCTTCTTCTTCTTCTTTTTTTTTTTTTTTTTTAAGATTTTATTTAAGAGAGAGCTAGCGAGCACGAGCAGGGGGCAAGGGCAAAGGCAGAGGGAGAATTAAGCCTCCCTGCTGAGCAGGGAGCCTGACGCAGGACTGGATCCAAGGACCCTGGGATCGTGACCTGAGCCGAAGGCCAACGCTTAACCGACTGAGCCACCCAGGCGCCTAGTCAAGACATAACTTGGTCTTCAAGTTATTTTTCTGGCTGAAGTGGATGATTGTTGTATAATATGTTTGCACTCTTAAGAGCTGATACTAATTACATGCTATACATTTTTATGAGCTCTTTGTGTATGCTAATAAACTTAATCCTCGCAGTAACTGTAAGCAGTAGATACATATCTTTGTTAACTTGGTTTCATGAATGAGAAAATTTAGGCATAGAGAAGTTCAGTAAATTGTCCTTGGTCATACTGCTTATAAGCGGCAGAGTCAAAATTTAAACATAGGCAGTCATGCTCCAGAGCTTGATTTTTTTTTTTTCCCTTTTTTAACCGCTACATACTTTAGACTGAGTGTTCTCTAAATAAGTTGTATCATAAGATACTATCTTCCAAAGGATACCATTGAACTACTTTTATCAAATCACATTTTGATATAGTCCTTGCAGCCTAATAGTTTTCAGAAGTGTAGAATATAATGTCCTTATTTATTTTCTGCTCTTCGTGTGAGGCAAGCTTTTAATTATACAGATTTAAAACAAAGCTGTTTAAAAAAACAAAACAAAACAGTGATTTTGGGAGAGAAAGGAAAAAGTCAGTATTTTGAAAGAATGAATAGACAAAGATGCTATCCCTTTCCCTTCAAGTAAAGCAGATGGAAGGGATGCTGCAGGATAATTGTTGCAGAGTAAATTTGTCTTTCTTAACAGCGTCGTTTCCCAGGGAGTATGGAAGGTTTTGTCACTCTAGATGAGGTTGGTGATGAGGAAGATTCGGAACTTCAGAAACTTCGTAAATCGGGCATGGCATTTAAATCTGGTGACAAAAATGATGATGGTTTGGTTGAAATTAAGGTGGACAAGATCGAGGAACTTGATCAAGAAAACGAAGCAGCGTTGGAAAATGGAATTAAAAATGAGGAAAATACAGAACCAGGCGCTGAACCTGCTGAGAATGCTGATGATCCCAACAAAGATACAAGTGAAAATGCAGATGGCCAAAGTGATGAAAACAAGGAGGACTATACAATCCCAGATGAGTATAGAATTGGACCATATCAGCCCAATGTTCCTGTTGGTGAGATTTAAGGCTTTGTTCTTCCCCTCTCACCCTTCCCAAGTTCTTACTACTTGGTCTTACATAAACTCTGATACCGTTTTAAGTTTTATTTCTCTGCAGAACAATTTGTAAATCTTAATTGACATATTCTTTCTTTTCCACTTAACCAGCTCTCCTCATTTTGTATTATCTTTTGTTACCATTTCACAATATGTTCTTGCTCCGCATAAAGGTTTCTGAGTATTTCACATTGCTTTTTTTTTTTAATCTTTTATATTTTTGCCTTTTAAGAGTACAGTTAGGTGGGACCTTAAACATCAGTTAAGTACAATTAACTAATATGGTTTTTGTTTTGTTTTAGCTTAGGTTATGTTGGACTTCTCACAAATATTATCTCATTCACATAATAATGACGGAAAAAAGATTTGAGAACACTAATTAAAATTTTCGATTTACTAAATTTGTAAGAATGTATGTTTGTGTTCTAGGTATAGACTATGTGATACCTAAAACAGGGTTTTACTGTAAGCTGTGTTCACTCTTTTATACAAATGAAGAAGTTGCAAAGAATACTCATTGCAGCAGCCTTCCTCATTATCAGAAATTAAAGGTAAGGCTGAATCTAAAGAGGAGAGTCCCTTTATGAAAATAGATCGTGTATATTTATGCAAAGTAAAATGTGTATGGTACCTTCTGTAGACCCATCACAATGCCTTATCCTGGAGATGACACTTTTATTTTTATTTTTTTTTTAAGATTTTATTTATTTGACAGAGACAGTGAGGGTGGGAACACAAGCAGGGAGAGTGGGAGAGGGAGAAGCAGCCTTCCCGCAGAACAGGGAGCCTGAGGCAGGGCTCAATCCCAGGGCCCTGGGATCACGACCTGAGCCAAAGGCAGATGCTTAACAACTGAGCCACCCAGGCGCCCCTGACACTTTTATTTCTTTGTTGATGGGCCTTAAGCAGTCTAATGAATTCTAGGAACTTCTGTTGAGCCTTTTTCTATAGTACATTCTAATTAAATAATTGAATAATTTTCTAACCATGTTATAAATTCTGTTATAATTAAAGTTATCTAAATATTTCCAAATGGGTATTGGAATATAATTTCTCTTATTTGGAAGATTCTGGAGACCTGAAAGCCAAGTGGAATAATAAGAAGCTTTTTCAACTTTGTGAAGTGCCATGTCCCTTCATACTTAATGATTTTTATATTGCCATTAAATTATTTATTAATAATGATACTCTGAGTTTTATGACCAGTGGGATATAAGGATAAATGAGTAAATAAAGCATAATGAAGCATAACAAATTCCTAGTTGGATATTTTGAAATTTGGTATTTTACTGACTTCTTTAAGGACTGAGTATTAAAACAGATAACTAGGGAAAAACTTGAAAGGAGTTAACTCATTAATTATAAATAACCTGGTTTTTTGCACTGTTTTATAGTAGAGAGCTATTGGAGTATTCCGTTATCAAACATGTTCTGTGTGTTGATTTAGATGGATAAAGATAGCCTGTGGGGGGGGGGGTAGATAGCCTTGAATTTAGGAAATAATGCCAGTTCTTGGCCTGTGTCACTAGTTTGAGATGAAATCAAATGGAGGTGTTCTTTGCTACCTATATGTATCTTACATTTAGCATATGAAAAAAATGGTTTAATTCCATTAGTAGCAGACATTGTGTATTACATGGAAGAGTATTGAAATACAAAAGTTGTCTCTTAATACTTGATACTTTATAAATGATATGCTATCTAATATTTCCTAGCTATTCTAATTTTCATTTGTTTATTGGAGGCGGCTCTCTTTATTACTTATTTCTATTTTAAAGGAACTTTGTCGACTTCACTAAAATGTATTATGCAATATAATATTTTGCTAATGATAAATAACTTGATACTTTCCTGAGTGTTTTTTCCAATGCTTTTTAACCCTCTCATCAATTGGGAGTAACTATAGAGTTGAGAAATTCTACCCAGAAGTAAAGAAACTTCGGGTGTTTTAGATTTGGGGGGGAGGGTTACTTATTAATGTCTTAATATGTCCAAGAACTCTAGAAATTACAAGTGGAATACAGGGGTCACTGCTTTTGTAGGTGAGGTGGGGTTTTTTTTGGAACATAGCCGTAGTCATTCACTTAAGTATTGTTTATGGCTGGCTTTATTGCTGTAACAGAATTGAGTAGTTGAAATAAAGAGTGGCCCACAGACAAAATATTTACTACCTTTAAGAAAATGTTTCCCCACTTTAATGGAAGATGCACTATTTGAATAAACGCATGTTATTTTAATGCATGTAATTTTCTTGGAGCAGTGGCAGTTCTTCTATGCAAGTATGATCTTTGTTTTCTTATCTCTGTAAGTTAATGTTAATTTTAAGTTGAAATAACCTTTTTTCACATTTTACCATTTTTTTCATGTCTTATGTACTGTGATCTAGTTTTGTATACTGACTTAAGAATAACTGAATCTTTAATGTTACAGTTAAATTACATTCAAATTCATAAACTTCGATCGAATATTTTATTTTGGAGTTCATCCATTTAGTTTTTCTTAGGTGACTTAATCCTTGTAATTTTTTTTTCTTTTCAGAAATTTCTGAATAAATTGGCAGAAGAACGCAGGCAGAAGAAGGAAGCTTAAGATGTGCAAGAAGCTTAACGATTTCAAAGAAAATAATGGTTCTTTGTTTTTAAATGTTAACCTTTTTTAAATATAATACTGATAGTTAGAAGAAAACTATTGTACTCTTTTGTTTTAGTGGAAAAATAATAGATGTCTGTTCATGTGTTAAGTGTTACAGCAAAAATACATATACGGTTAAGTTAATGAAGAATTGTTTTTGTTTTATCAGAATGGTAACAGACCGAAGTACTTTGTAGAGACTGACTCGCTACTTAAGACAACTTGCACCACTAAGAAAAAAGATGTAGAATCATTCAGAGAAATGAAATTTAGTTCCAAGCTTCAAAGAAATGTCAAAACTTTTGATTCCATTCAATAAAGAACAAAACCAATTGTATTTTTATTACTTTCATCTGAAACATTCCACATTTTAATCTGAGCCTTGCAGACTTTTCATTTGGAGTTTGAAGCTTTTTGGGTTGCTTTTTATTTGGAGATCTTCATTAATATGAGATTGGCAATTAAAAAGCAGGTGCAGTTTTCTTTTAATGTCATGCTGTTGTTTAGGTAATAAGAAATACTAAGTAATTGGCTTTAGATTTTTGTAATTTTTTCCCCTAAGTTCCTGCTAGATTTCGTATTCTAGTAGTCAATGTATTTTCAGTGAAATGTAAAAATACTCCCGTTCTCTTTGAGCAGTATTAATTTCTTGAGATCTTATTGCTTGTCACTTGAATCCTGTAGCTGTCATACATCTGGTATAAGCAACATTTGATTTTTGAAGTGTGTAGACCATCTCTTCATATTTCAAGATGTAATTTTACATTTCTGCATTTTAAAAACAGTTTGGCCATAATCTAGACGCACGCTTCTAATTCATATACCTGCACATGTGACCTTTGTGAACAGAAATTTGCATGTATAATCTGTGTTTACTTGTAACTTTCTGGTAATATACTGCTTATATCTGTGGATTCAAGTTTCTGAAGTGAATACCAATAAAAAAAAAACCTAGGCCATGTTCATTGGTTATACATGTTTGGAATGTTAACCAATATTTTTGTCAGTTGTGGTTTTTATTCACTGTTACACTTTTTTGCATGCTTTAACAAATTATTACATTTTTAATCTAGAGTGTTCTAAAAGACTGCTACTAAAGATCTGAGTTTTAAAGTTTTTGGTGCTGGTGGATTTCTTGTTCCTGTTACATAAAAATCGGGCTATTTGTGGTCTTTAAAAACCTTTGGAGGTTAAAACGCTAAGGGTGAAGAAATGGCAAAAGCTCATGTTTAGACCTGTCTAAGTATCAAACAATAAAATTGGAAATAACATGGAATATCAAGAATTAGTCTTACCAGCTTTTCAAAATCTTTCAGGGTTCTTGGTGTAAGGGATTTACCTATTGTCAAAAAACATTTTTAATTTTAAGAAAAACAACTTAATAGGAATTCTCTTTGGAACTCTTAGGTCTGAATGTGTTTAAGGGATATATCAAAATTCCATGGTGTATCTCTGAAAGGCAGTTAACATTTTCTTAATGTGACATGCACAAAAAATCCTCGCCAGTTTATTTCTGCAGTTTAATATTGGCCTTTACTAATTACCCACTTCTGTTTAATTCCAACTGTTAACTAACAGCAAGCAACAGAAAACGTGTGTGCATTGGAATCCCTAATTGTTTCCTATCAGTGATAGCTTTTTTTCATAGGTCTGACATTGTTGGCTGTAGCAAGCTGTAGAAGAGAAAGTTCAGTATCTTCATTTGATAACATTTAGAAAGCAAAAATTTTCATAAGTAAGCTATTAGTATTTCCCAGATTATGGCAGACCTTTTTTCATAGGAATGTTTTCACTTAAACCTGGTATAAAGTTGAAGAACGTTGTTACCAGTATCATTTTAGCCTTCAGTTTAATCTTAGGTTAATTACTCTGTGAAGGAAACCTTTAAAAACACCTTGAGTATGTATTATTATTTTTTTAAGCCTATTGCTGGTAAATTTGGGATTTGATCGTGACTGATAAAGGCATGAGTTGGCTAGCTATATTGTAAAAGTTTGATTTGAAATTTCATTAATGAGGAACAGGAATTTCTGGCCACAGAGTACACTGACTTCCTGTAGAGTCTAAATAATAAAATTCTAAGGAAATTTTTTAGGTTATATCCATTCTCTTGAATTCTTCTAAGAGGGATGGCTTTCCTCACCCAGTGATGTGGAACACAAAATGCACCCTGTTAAGTATTAATGGCAGATATTAGAGTTACGGGGGAAGAATACCCTTATTTTTTGTCTAGCTTTGTTCACAGTGGATTTCAGTGGCTTTGAACAGTAAAATGTAGTATTACCTGAGTGAAAATTGTGACAAAAACAGGCTGGTGGTGGGGGTGCCTGGGTGGTACAGTAAGTTAAGCATCTGGCTCTTAGTTTTGGCTCAGGTGTGATCTCAGGGCCATGAGCGATCCCTGCATTGTGCTCAGCATGGAATCTGGTTGGAATTCGCTCTCCCTCTCCCTTTGCCCCCCTCCTCCCCCACCTCTCAGGCTCTCTCTTTAAGTAACCTTAAAAGGAGGCTGATGTAGTGGAATCTGCAGGAACACTGTAGAACAATTTTTTAAAAATCAGAATCGGGTGCCTGGCTGGCTCAGTCAGTGAAACATGCAAACTCGATCTTGGGATTGTGAGTTTGAGTCCCACGTTGGGTGTAAAGATTACCCAAAAAATCAGAGCAGTAAAGTGTTTGGTCCAGTCTGTGTGGGTTATTTAACATAATTTGCAGTATGGCTAGGAGCAGCTCTGTGTGCTCTTTTATTGGTCTCCATTACAGAATATGGCTTAGTATAGCTAAAAGCTCAAGTATTGAATGGTAATGCATTTAGGATTGGGTATTCCCTGGCAACTCTGAGCTGTTTGCTGAGCTGGAGTTTAAAATGCCCTCTCCGGGGCACCTGGCTGGCTCTGTGGGTAGGGCTTTTAAGAGACAGCACAAGCTGGTGGGGGAAGGGCGGAGGGAGAGCCCAAAGCAGGAGTGGATCCTGAAGCAGGGCTCAGTCTCATAATCCTGTGATCATGACCGGAGCCAACATCAAGAGATGGACACTTACGCGACTGAGCCACCCAGGCGCCCCAAAAATAAGATCTCTCTTAAATAAAATACCCTTTCACTTTGATGCAAGTCCTATGACGGGTGAGGCCAAGATTTCTTAGGGTCAGCATTAGTATACAAACAAAATGTTTTCCTTTAGTGGTTCTCAAATGTTAGCATGCATCAGAATTATCTGGAGGCTTCGTTAAAATATGGATGGGGTCCACTAGAATTTCCACTTCGCTAGGGTGGGTCTTGATAATTTCCATTTTAAACAAGTTATCAGGTGATGGTGGTATCAAGCGAAGAAGCTACACTTTGAGAATGATAGTTTTACCTGTAGCCAAAGAAGTATTTAGGCTAGGGAGTTGTAATCATGCCTGCTTCAGGTACTCTTGCTTGAGGTACTGCTTTTGTTATTGTTCCAAACCTAGAACTAGGGGAAATGCTAGAAAATAATCACCATTAGAAACCTGTGCAAAGAATTAAAACAAAAAACACACCAATGGGGGGTGGTTCAGTCAGTTGAGTGTCTGACTCTTGGGTTTCAGCTCAGGTTACGATCTCAGGCCCTGGGGGACTTCCCCCTCCCCCCCCCTCACACTCTTTCAAAACTGAATTTTAAAAACCCACCAATGGAAGATACCCCATTTCAGAGCCCTAGGTACTGCTTTCCCAGATGTCTTTTTTTTTTTTAAGATTTTTTTTTTTTTTTAAGATTTTATTTATTTGTGAGAGAGACAATGGGAGACAGAGCATGAGAGGGAGGAGGGTCAGAGAGAGAAGCAGACTCCCTGCTGAGCAGGGAGCCCGATGTGGGACTTGATCCCGGGACTCCAGGATCATGACCTGAGCCGAAGGCAGTCACTTAACTGAGCCACCCAGGCGCCTTTTTTTTTTTTTTTTTTAAGATTTTATTTATTTGACAGAGCGGCAGGGAGAGGGAGAAGCAGGCTTCCCGCTGAGCAGGGAGCCTGATGTGGGACTCGATCCCAGAACCCTGGGATCATGACCCAAGCTGAAGGCAGACACTTAACCGACGGAGCCACCCAGGTGCCCCTCCCAGATGTGTCTTGTCTTTTGCTCGGAACATTAAAGTCTTGTAATTTTCTGGGAACTAGCTACAACCAGACGTTTCAAGGAAAGTTACTGGGGCAGAAACATGAAGTCTTGGGAATTCACTACTTTGCCTAGCTAAATGTTTCTTTTCCCACTGTATCACTTAATAACATAGGAACTAATGATAAGGCTTGGTAACAACTAGTTGAAGTTTTAAGTGAATGGGAAAATGGAAATGGCTACCTCATCACTCAAGTACATCTAACTTGCTGATAAACTATAGTTGATACTGGGTGGAGCTCAAAGTACTAGGTAAAAGATGAAACTGTATTAAATTACAGACAGACTGAAAAAGTACGGGTGAGGATTGTTGGAAGGTAATTTTTAAGACCATGTTAACATACTTAAAGGATTTATGTTTAAGATTTTTAGCCCTGGCTTTTCTGTGAACCTGAAGTTCTAGCCTTAGAAAGTTTTATAATTTCCACACAATTTAAGAACTCTGTAAAGATGTACAATAGGAAATAGGAAAACAGTGTGAAAAGGAAAGGCGGTCTATATTGGGGCTAGTAGACCAAAAAATGGACATTAGGTGCCCACCCCAAGTAAACTTGGAGTGAGAATGGCATTAAGTACAGCTTTAATGACTTCTAATCCATGATGTCCTTGTGCTTCATGCATGGTAGCATTGATGAAGTATTGGTTCTAAAGACCTGATGCGGGGTGCCTGGATGGCTCAGATGGTTAAGCATCTGCCTTCTGCTCAGGTCGTGATCTCAGGGTCCTGGGATCGAGCCCCGCGTCAGGCTCCCTGCTCAGTGGGAAGCCTGCTTCTCTCTCTCCCTCTATGACTCCCCCCTGCTTGTTCTCTCTGTCAAATAAATAAAATCTTTAAAAAAAATAAAAGGGGCACCTGGGTGGCTCAGTCGTTAGGCATCTGCCTTCAGCTCAGGTCATGATCCCAGGGTCCTGGGATTGAGCCCTGCATTGGGCTCCTTGCCCCGCAGGAAGCCTGCTTCTCCCTCTCCCACTCCCCCTGCTTGTGTTCCCTCTCTTGTTGTGTCTCTCTCTGTCAAATAAAATCTTAAAAAAAAAAATATATATATATATATATATATATATATATATGAAAACCTGATGCAAATGGGCTGTGCCAACACCATCAGGAATGTCCCACCTTTCATTAGGACAGTACTCAAGTTTAAATCATTGCATTTGCCTACTGTAAAGCAGGACTAATTCTTACATGCTCAACTTTGCCAGGGTAGTTAACTCAGAAGTAGTGGTTTCTTGGGCGCCTGGGTGGCTCAGCTGGTTAAGCAACTGCCTTTGGCTTGGGTCATGATCCTGGAGTCCCGCATCGGGCTCCCTGCTCGGCAGGGAGTCTGCTTCTCCCTCTGACCCTCCTCCCTCTCATGCTCTCCGTCTCTCATTCTCTCTCTCGCAAATAAAAAAAAAAAAGTAGTGGTTTCTTGTTGGCTATTTCACTCTTGAGATTTTGTTTGTTTTTAAAGATTTTATTTATTTATTTGAGAGAGAATGAGAGAGAGCACATGAGAGGGGGGAGGGTCAGAGGGAGAAGCAGGCTCCCTGCCGAGCAGGGAGCCCGATGCAGGACTCGATCCAGGGACTCCAGGATCATGACCCGAGCCGAAGGCAGTCGCTTAACCAACTGAGCCACCCAGGCGCCCTGACTCTTGAGATTTAAATGACTTTTTTTCTTCACTTTTAAGAGTTGGGTGCCTGGGTGGCTCAGTCGGTAGAGCATGCATCTCTTGATCTCAGGGTTCTAAGTTCGAGCTTCACGTTAGGTGTAGAGATTACTTCAAAATCTTAAAAAGAAGTTGGCTATGAACATCAAAAGGCATTAGCAATCAGATTCTGGCTACTTTCTTGGCAACTACAAGTCTATATGGACTTCCTTTTTCTTATTACTCCACTTTTATCAGGGTAATCCCCAGTTTCTGCTCTCTTGTGTGTGAGTTCTGTAGTTTATTTTGTGGTGTCATGAGGGCCTGTGGGGGAAGGTATGGCAG